TTCTCCCAAGGGAGGGCGCCATGGGGTATTGCACGGGCCCGTTCTCGTCTTCACGGATGGATTTTCCTGACAGGCGTCCATGGGGAAAGGAAAAGAAAGAGGAGGACAAGAAGGAGGAGGAGGAAGAGGACGGATGGAGGAAGCAACTACTTTACTGAAAGTCGTCGTAATCGTCGGCGTCTCTCTCGGCCTTGTTTTCCACGCGGATTCGCTGACACTCGAATACTGAAGAGGACCACGTCTTCTACCGCAACTTGCCATCGCTATGACATGCACATATGGGGATATCCGCGTCGAGTAATTTTCCAGGTTCCCGCGTCTTGCCGCCCGTTCTACGAGGTGGGAGGAGGGAGGAAAAAGAGGGACAAAAGTAAACCCCAGTTGGCCAACGATCCTGCCGTACATCCTCCCGCCCAGAAAAACCCCCCGCCTCCAATAACTCCTACGCGCTTCTTTTTTCATTACAAGACGTGGCCAATTGAAAACGTAGATCTGGTCGGTCTTCCACTCAGGCGAGCGCCTCGTTTGGAAAAACATGCGACATACATGACAACGCATGTCAACGAAATGTCCAGCGATATACACGTTGGGGAAGTGCCAACACGTGTAATTTTTGAATGAAAACGTAGGGTTTTGAACCTTGGTGAAACTGCAAGCGATACCCCCATGCAAAAAAAATCCGACGGCTGGACCCTCCATGCTGATATCCTCGCTTAGTCTAAAAACAAACCTCTTCGTCGTTCCTGCGATCGCGGGTGTCCAATGTGGCTTGTCCTCCTGGCGCAGGCCCTCATCCCGCCCCCTGCTTTGAAGCTTCGTTCCCCTTCTGCCCCCCCCCGCTCCTGAACCAGTGGTGCGCGCATCGATTTCCCATGGCGCCGTCGCCGTTTCGGCGGGCGGACGCGCGCTTTCCGATGGCCAAATCGCGAAGCCGCCGGGGCAACCTCGCAACCGCGCCGTCGGGGCAAACCCGCGGGCCGCCGGCGCGCGAAACCAAGTCGGCGGGACAACCCCGCGGACTTGGAACGGGGCGCGGCCGCGCCCAGGCGGGGGGCGCCTTCCGCAGGGAAGCCAGCGGCCCGCGTTCCAGAAACTCGCGCGAAGGCGGCCGCAGGATCAGCACTTTCCGCACGCGCGTGGCGCGGGGGAACGCAACGTAGAGGTGCAGCCACCACCGTTCGTCCAACATGCCCGCGCGGCCAACGGCCCCATCCTTGGCGCAGCCGACGGTGGCCGTCTTGAGCAGCGTCTGACCCTGCGACAACACTGAGGTGAGGGAGGACGCGACCGTCACGGTGAACCCCGAGCGGCGCACGGCGTGCGGGCCCAGGATCTGGCATGTGATCTCAGGCTCGCTGGGCCTGAAGACAAGCAAACTCCGCGCCCGCGCGTCGGCCTGGCCGTCGTCGTCAATGCATTCGGTACCATGTAGCAGGAGCTCGGCGACCTCCTGGTGGATCGGGGACTCCTCAAAATCGTCAACCTGCATCAAAATCCCCTGCGTTCGTCAGTCGCGAACTCCTCGTGCCACACCCAGTCTTCGGACCCCCTAGGGAGGTGGATTTCCGCTCGAGACTTCCTCACCATTCACTCAAAAACGAAGCTCCCGCTCAAGACTTCCTCCAGATCCACGCCCGAGGAACCAAAAAATGTTGACAGTTCGGAACATTGGACGACCCGCTCGAATAACTACCATGATCAGCCAGCCCTATACAGCAGGGGTTCCCGCCTGAGACCTCCTCGCAATCCACTCACGGACGAGGCTCCCGCTCGAGACGTTCTCCAGATCCACACCTCAGGAGCCCAAAAATGACGATAGTTACAAAATTTGGACGGCCCGATCGGATTACTTACATGATCTGGCGGCCCCATAAGGAGGGGGTCCCCGGCCGAGTGAGCCTTCTTCACAAACCACTCACTAACCAGGCTCCCGCTCGAGACTTCTTGCTTCCAGATCCACGCCTCAGGAGCCCAAAATGGCCACAGTTACAGGAACTGGATGACCGCTCGGATTACTGACATGATTTGCCGGTTGCTGCTCGAGGCGTTCTCCATATCCACACCATAGGAGCCAAAGCCCAAGAGTGACGACAGTTACAAGATCTGGATGGCCCGATCAGAATACTAACATGATCTAGCGGCCCCATCGAGAAAGGGCTCCCGCCTGAAATTCCTCACATGTCACTCACAGACGAAGCTCCCGCTCGAGCCTTCCACATGATGAATGCATCAGTGTGTGCATGTGACTGAGTGCGAGATACTGCTAATGATGACGGGATGGCGACGGTGATGGTGATGGTGATCAAAATTTGATGGCGATCGTGATGATGATGGTGCGATGGCACTGATTATGAAAGTCACGATGATGACGATAACGATGCAAGTGTGAGTGAATGTGGGTTTGTGCTGGAGAAATGTTGATTATTTAATGGGACGGCAATGGCGATGGTGATGGTGATGGTGATGATGATGAAAATGGCAATAATACTGACAATGAAAATTAAAACGGTAATGAAAATGATGATGTTGATGATGATGGTGATGACGATGATGATGATGACGACGACGACGATGATGTGGGGGGGTGTTCCTCCTGATGCTCCGACGCGGGGTGCCCAGAGTAAGCAAGAACCCCACAATTCAGATGCGCAAAAAAACAATTTTCAATCCGTGCAACTGCTACATATGTTCAAATGTGTGGCCTTTGGCTTCGACAGGACATTTCGAGCGAGATACAAAAACACAAAAAAAAAACACCCCGACTTGTCAATGAGCCTCAACTCCTGGGTTTCAGCTCTTCTGGGGGGTGGGTGCCAGGGTGGCTCTGGCGGAATAGGGGGAGGGTGGGGGAGGGGCGACTTATGAATTCCCGGGGCGGGATCGGAACTCCAGCTCGCTCCGGGACGGCCCCCTCGCCCAGGAGGGCCCCAACGTGGGCCAAGGGGGGCCCCGAGTCGCCGAACAATCGCAGCAAGACGCCCAGGATGTTCCCAAGACGGCCCCTGAAGCCTCCAAAATGCCCTCAAAGCCCCGAAAAAGGCCTCCCCACAAAAAAAACAAACAAGCAACAAGTATCCAATTTCCTGAAGAAACGTACAATTTTAGCATGTTCCCCTTTTGGGCCTTCTGAGCGTCGCAGACGCCCCAAGGGAACCCCAAAACGGCCCAAGGATCCGCCAAAAGGGCCCCAAGACGGCGCAGGAAGGGCCCAACATGGCCCAGGAGGCCCCGGGAAAAGCCCAAGAGGGCCCCGGGACGGGCCCGAGAGGCGCCTGAGAGGGCGCCAAGACGGCGGAAGAAATGCCGAAGACGGCCAAAAACTCCCCAACAGGCCCCCGGAGGCCCCGAGGCCCCCAAGAGGCCTGAAGAGGCTCCCCGAAGAGGCCCCCTGACGCCCCCCTAAGGCTCCCAAGAATTTCAAAAAATGCGCCCAAGACGCCTTCTAGAAGCCCCCAAGCTGCCTCAGACTCCTCCCGAGAAGCCCAAAACCAGCTCCGATGCTTCCACGAAGCTTACGTCTGAAAACAAGCGTTGCAACATAAAGGGTGATTCCATGCTTTTATATATTCCCCCGTCTTCGGTGTCCATCACATCCATGATCTCACAAAGGCCCGCGGAGGACCGCGCGAAGGCCCCACTGACCCTAGGAACGCAATGGTTCCCAATAGAGACCGGCGACACACAAGGCTCCACAAAGAACTGCGACGCAGACAGCTCTAGCACAGAGCCTTTCAGAGAGTGCGCCAAATCGGCGAGGTGTCAACCCGAAGAGGGCCAACACCTGGCCCCAAAAAGGCTTCCCAACAACCGCCGAACATCTCCAACAACCGCCGAAAATCTCCTCATCCGCGTTTCCTCCCCCTCTTCCACTTCCCGTTTCCTCCTGCTCCTCCTCATCCTCAGCATCCTGATACTCCTGCCCCTCCCCCCCCCACCCCCCTCCACCTCATCGTAATCCTCCTCCTCCTCGTCCTCCTCCTCCTCCTCCTCATCATCATCATCATCGTCATCATCATCATCATCCTATTCGGTTGCCTCCATTCCCACTCCTCATCATCATCCTCACCGCTCGCCGTCGTCGCCGGGCATGACCGCCATCGCGCGCTTCCGGCAGCAACGGAAGCGTCCTGGATCGGCGGCGCTGGCCGGAGGCCACTACAATCTCAAGCCAGAGACGAAAGAAAACGTCACCCAGACTTGTCAATGTTGAGAACCAATGTTGAATACGAATACGCGCAGCGCTAAGGCGGGAGTCTCATTTTGAACATGGACCGCTGTCCACAACTGTATATGCTACAGACTAGCAAGGCGAATGTGCGCAACGCGGACACGAGAGCCCCATTTTGAGAACGACTTCCACCCCGGCCCGATCCTTGCAAGCGTTAAAACACAAAAACCTTCCATTCCTGAAACTGCTACCAGGTTTTACCACGAGTATGCCTGGCGCTCAGGCTAGAGCCCCATTTCAAAAATCACCCGCACGTATGTATATCTATGTGCGTATGTATATATATATATATATACTGATACAAGGGATGGAGGATGGAGAGGGGGGAGGGATGAGAGGAAGGAGGAGGAGGAGGAGGAAGGGAGGAGGGAGGAGGGAGGAGGGAGCAGGATGAGGAGCATTTGCTGTGCTTTACAAGCAATTCTCCACTGCACCCAGCCGCGCCACAGGTCAGCAGCGAGCGCCCCGACTAGGCAGCAGAGGGAGGAGGGAAGAGCTCGCTGGCTGGCTAGCTGGGGCGGCTCCTGGCATCTGTGAGTCTCAAATGAGGGAGGAGTGAAGACGATGTGAGGAGGAGTAGGAGGAGGAGGAGGAGGGGGAGGACAATGAGGAAGGAAGACGAAGGGCGGAGGAGGATGATCACGAACCAGAAGATGGAGGAGGAGGAGCTGGAGGAGCAGGACGAGGAGGAGGAGGAGGAGGAGGAAGAGGAGGAGCGGCAGCAGCGGAAAGAGAAGAGGGACGGAAAAGCCCCCCCGAGCCCCCGCCCCTCCCATTCTTGGGCACGCCGTTCGCGCCGCCCGGCGAGGAGGCGTACCGGGCCAGCGTCGACGCGCGGCGGCAGCGTCCTCCCCGCACGGACCCGCCCATCCCCCCCCGCGACTGAAGGGGGTAGCGAGAGGGGGGAGGCTTCTTGGAGGGAGGCGGCTTCTCAGAGGGCGCCGGCCTTGCACCTACAGACAAGGCCCGCGCCTTCTGAGAAACAAGGATGTTCCTAGGGAGCCTTCCCTCCTACCCCTACCCCCCAGACCCCCGACGTCATGATTATTGCATAGCGTCGACCCTGGAGGTCTCGACACATCCCCCAGGACCCGTCCTCCGTCCAAACTCGTTTTTTGACGGCCCCGAGGCCCGAGCAGGGCCCCCAGGGGCCGAAAATCGATGAAAACCTCCCGTCGTGATTGTCACGACTCCAGGGGGCCTCGGCCCTCTCAACGCGTGGCCGAAGGGAGGCCGCCTCCCTCCCCCACGCACCGGCCACCGTGATGCAGCCGCGCGGCAGTCCGACGCCCGCGGAGGCCGCGACTGCGCCCGGAGGGGCGGCCACGCACCCGCACCGCATGAGCAGGGCGCACGCCAAGCACTGCTGCAGGCGTCGAGGGACAACATCTCCTCCTCCTCCTCCTCCTCCTCCTCCTCCTCCTCCTCCTCCTCCTCCTCCTCCACCTTCTCCTCTTCTTATTATTATTGTTTTTCGTCTTCCTCCTCCTCCTCCTCTTCCTCTTCCTCCTCCTCCTCCTCCTCCTCCTCCTCCTCCCTCCTCCCTCCTCCCTCCTCCCTCCTCCCTCCTCCCTCCTCCCTCCTCCCTCCTCCCCTCCTCCTCCCCCTCCCCTCCTCCCTGCTCCCTGCTCCCTGCTCCTTCTCCCCCTCCCTCCTCCTCCTCCCCTCCTCCCCCTCCTCCTCCTCCTCCCTCCTCCCTCCTCCCTGCTCCTGCTCCCCCTCCCCCTCCTCCCTCCTCCCTCCTCCCTCCTCCCCCTCCTCCCTCCTCCCCCTCCTCCTCCTCCTCCGCCTCCTCCGCCTCCTCCTCCTCCGCCTCCTCATCCTCCTCCTCCTCCTCCGCCTCATCCTCCTCCTCCTCCTCCACCTCACCTCCGTCCCTCCCTCCCTCCCTCCCTCCCTCCCACCCACCCTCACTCCCTCCCTGCCCTCCCTCCCTCCCTCACTCCGCCTCCCTCCTCAACGCTCTCCTCCTCCTCCTCCTCCTCCTCCTCCTCCTCCTCCTCCTCCTCCTCATCATCATCATCAGCAGCAGCAGCAGCAGGAGCATCAGCATCAGCATCATCATCATCATCATCATCATCATCATCATCAGCAGCAGCAGCATCATTATCATAATCAGCAGCAGCAACATCAGCATCAGTGTCAGCATCAGCATCAACATCAGCATCAGCCTCCCCATCCTCATCCTCATCCTCATCCTCATCATCACCATCACCATCATCACCATCATCAGCATCATCATCATCATCACAATCATCATATTATTTTTACTCATCATCCTAATCATCCTCATCAGCACCGCCACCATCAGCATCATCATCACCATCATCATCAGCATCAGCATCATCATCGCCATCATCATCATAATCATCATCACCACCATCAGCAGTAGCATCATCATCATCATCATCATCATCATCATCATCATCATCATCACAATCATGCTAATCATCATCATCAGTATCATCATCAGCATCGCCAACATCAGCATCATCATCATCATCATCATCATCATCATCATCGTCATTCCCATCAGCATCAGCATCAGCATGATCACCGATCATTACCATCATCATGAGTATCATCAGCATCATCATCGTCATTGTCTTTATCATCATCATCATCATCATCATCATCATCATCATCATCATCATCATCTTCAGCATCGGCAGCATTATCATCATCAGCATCATCATCGTCGTCATCATCCGCAGCATGATCAGCGTCATCATCATCAGCATCATCATCGTCGTCATCAGCAGCAGATCATCATCGTCATCAGCAGCATCGTCAGTAAAATCAGCATCATCATCATCATCATCATCAGCAGCATCATCATCATCATCGTCAGCATCACCATCATCAGCAGCAGCATCATAATTGTCAATGCAATCAGGATCATCAGCATCAGCATCATCAGCATCATCACCCGCATCTGCAGAATCATCAGCATCGCCACCACCATCACCATCATCAGCATCAGCATCATCAGCATTATGATCATTTGTCGTCATCGTCAGTATCATCAGCATCATCATCGACGTCGCCATCATCAACCACAACGTCATCATCAGTATCAACAACATAATCATCATTACCATCACCATCAGCATCATCATCATCATCATCATCATCATCAGCATCATCAGCATCAGCATCGTCGTCAGCAGTATCATCAACATGAGCAGCAGCGTCGTCATCGTCATCATCGTCATCATCATCAGCAGCACCGTCATCATCATCAGCATCATCTGCATGTTCGTCTCCTCCTCCTCCTCCTCCTCCTCCTCTCCAGCCTCCTCCTGCTCGTCAATCCTCGTTCCTCTTTCTACTCCTCCTCCTCGTCCTCCTCATCCTCATCCTCATCCTCATCCTCATCCTCCTCATCCTCCTCATCATCATCATCGTCATCATCATCATCACCATCATCATCACCATCATCAGCATCATTATCATCATCATCATCATCATCATCATCATCATCATCATCATCATCATCATCGCCAGCATCATCGGCATCATCATCACAGCAACCACCATCACCATCATCAGCAGCATCGCCATCAGCGTCAGCACGAACATCAAACTCAGCATCGACATCATCATCATCATCATCCTCATCAGCAGCATCACCAGCATCATCCTCATAATGATCATAATCAGAATCAGCAGCAGCATCATCATCATCATCATCACCATCATGCTAATCATCATCATCATTATCATCATCATCATCATCATCATCCTCATCATCATCATAATCATCCGTATCTTCATCATCATGATTATCAGCATCAGCATCATCATCAGTATCAGCAGCATCATCAGCATCCGCATCAGCATCAGCATCAGCATCATCGTCATCATCATCATCAGCATCAGCATCAGCATGGTCATCAGCATTGTCAGCATCATCAGCATCATCATCAGTACCATAATCCTTATCATCAGCATAATCATCATCATCGGAAGCATCATCATGAGCAGCAGCATCATCACAGCATGCACCATCACCATCATCAGCAGCACCGACATCAGCGTCAGCACGAACATCAAACTCAGCATCGGTATCATCATCAGCAGCATCATCAGCATCATCAGCATGATCTTCATCCTCATTATCATCAGCATCAGCATCATCAGTTGCAGCATCAGCAGCATCAGCACCAGCGTCAGCATCAGCATCATCATCATCATCATCAGTATCAGCATCACCATCATCAGCATCATCATAAGCATCGTCAGCATCGTCATCAGCATCATCATCAGTACCATGATTATAAGCAGCAGCATCACCACTATCATCATCGTCATCATCAGCATAATCATCATGAGCAGCATCATCTTCAGCAATATAAATATCATTATCATCAATATCATCACCATCATCATCAAGAGCATCGGCATCGTCATCGTCATCGTCATCAGCATGATCATGATGATCATCATCATCAAAATCAGCATCATCGTCATCATCATCGGAATCATCATCATCAGCGGCAGCACCATCATCAGCGGCAGCACCATCACAATCACCAGCATCAGCATCATTACCATAATCAGCTCATCAGCAACATCAGCATCACCGTCGCCATCATCAGCAACAACATCGTTAGTATCTTCATCATCAGCATCATCATCATCCGCAACAGCATCGTCATCACCATCAGCAGCAGCATCATCGTCATCGTCATCATCAGCAGCAGCATCATCATCGTCATCATCAGCAGCATCATCAGCAGCATCATCATCGTCTTCATCATTATCCTCCTCGTCCATTACGTAGTCCCCCGGGCTTCCGACATCAATATCGTCTCGCGCAATAAGGCGTCTTGGATCTCGCCTCTGAAGTCGGACCCGATACGGAGGTGTCTAGGGTCTAGGGTAAGACTTCCCGGACGGATGGTCGCAGCATCAGGCTGCAGCGGTCACAAGTTGAGTTGGAGGATCGCATTGGTCTCAAGCTCGATTGCATGCGCAGCACAAGTCAACGCACGACAGGTGCGCGCGCCGTGGTACGCGTGGCACACTCTGGCACAGATGTTATGATTGTCCCCGCAGGAGAGAGCAAGGCCCTGAGCTTGTTAGGCGTGCAACCAACTTTGTCGGACATCTAGCAGCGGAGCATGCAGAGATGTTCGAGAGATGCATCGTTCCTTCCCCACGTTGTTGTTTGCCTGGGCGAAGAACCGAATCCCACCGTTTCATCTTCCAACGCGCCAGGGCGGCATGATCATGATCATGATCATCATCATCATCATCATCATCATCATCATCATCATCATCATCATCATCATCATCATCATCATCATCATCATCATCATCATCATCATCATCTTCCTCCTGCTCCTCCTCATCCGCCTCCTCCTCCTCCTTCTCCTTCCTCCCCCTCCTTCCTCCTCCTCCTCATTCATGCCGCCCTGGCGCGTGCCACGACGATTCCGTGCTGGCGCAACAAACTGCGACATAAACTACGCACACCAGGAATGAAAACAAGCATAGGCCCCGGGCACCCTGGCCCAGATTAGGAATTTATCCCGAGCTCTGAGGAGAAAGTCTCTCACAAGCGCTGCGCGTCGCGAGGTCCCCCCCGTGCCGGAACCGGGACCCCTCCCCCCACATGAAAATCATTCCCCTCTCCTCCGGAAGCGGGACCAGCCTCCTCTTCCAGCGAAAACCCCGCCCAACCTACCCATCCACCCCCAACGCCCCCACCAACGACGAAAACGACGACGACGACGACCACCACCACCACGACGACGAAGACGACGCCAACAACGACGACGACGACGACGACGACGAAGACGAACACGACGACGAAGACTACGACACTGACGACACTGACGAC